TTTTTTTTTTTTTTTTTTTTTTTTTTTTTTTGAACACGCCCCCGTCAGTGTCAGTGGTGCTGATAAGAGCAGACACCGCTAACACCTGGGGGGGGGCTCCATACATTCTTCTTCTTCTTCTTCTTCTTCTTCCTCTTCTTCTTCTTCTTCTTCTTCTTCTTCTTCTTCTTCGTGGAGGCCTAATCAGTAGGCAATGCAAGCAATGGAAGATGCTCCTCATGAAACGCACACATCATGCTAATGGTCACTGCAGGCAGCAGCTCCACCATTCACCTCTTCTGCCCAACAAACTATATGGCACAGACCTTCTTCTTCTCCTTCTCCTTCATCATCATCTTCGTCTTCTTCTGCTTCTTCTCAATGGGCCCCTGATTACTAGGCAAAGCAAGCAATGGAAGAACTTGTCCCCATGAAAAACACATATCATGTTGGTGGTCACTGCAGCCTGCAGGCAGCAGGTCTGCCCAACAAACTAAGTGGCACAGAGAACCCATCACTTCTCTCTGGTCTCCTTAGAGAACAACACGGATATAATGTTTATGGTCAGAACGTACAGCAGGTTCACCATACACCCATCCAACCTGAAAGACTATCGGCCGCAGGGAATCCAGCACGGACAGCATGCCCGCCATCGCGTTTTCAAATGAATTTTTCTTTTTAAGAAATTTGGATCATTTCTCGATTTATGCATGTCATCCTTGCGCAGGGGCCATGCTAATCTTTGCGGTATCGTTCCAATTTTAACGGATGTCCCGAAGGACTTAGCGATTCCAAGCCTAAAATCACCCTGCGCGCAAAAAAAAGACGCAACCGCGCTGGCGTCATTTTGGCTGGCGCCGCCGGCCATCTCGGTGTGGATGCTGAACCGTCGAGAGTCGAAAGCTGGCCGCGTAAACCGGAGCGTATGTTTCTTTCAAGTGGGGAACTAAATGGTGGTGTAAGGGTTCCCTGCTGCAGATCGACGATTAGGTACTGGTGGTTTAACCGTTCTCTCTTTTCCTTTCTGCGGGTGTGTAGTCGCACGATAACTTTCAAATGAATCTGGCTCTCTTCGTCAACCTGACACAGTGATACATGCTAGGATTTAACGTGTAAGTACACCCTACGACCTCCTCTCTTTCCCTCATTATTACTTTGACAGTAATCGGCAAGAGAAAGAAGTCGGTCGACGATTACCTAGCACTCCTCGGGAGCCGTAACCCTACAGAAAAGCTAACCAGCGAGCACACGCACTGCCAGTGCGCGCCGTTATCCGCGTCAGTGACCCTAGCTACATCATTGCCATACCCCTAACCAAAGCGCGCACCTAACTTAGCCAGCCGGTGGACATACACACTGCCCGACGGTGCGAATGGTTGTCCATGTTGGTGACCCTCGCTACATCGTCGCCATAGCCTACCTCGCATTCCATTCTTCCTTGCCCTCTCCGCTCGCAATCATTCTTAAATGATAAGCGAAGGGTGTACCCTAAGTCGCAGCCGAGCGCATCAAGCAGCAAGCCGCCAAGCATCTTCATGTTTACAGCGAATCGTGTCGGCAAATGGGACTGGGTGCGCTCTTTCAAAGCGCGTATCTAAGCTTATAGCTGAGAGCAGCTAGTCCCCTCGCAGCTCCTTGTTTATAGTGCGGATCGTGTCGGGAAAAATCTGAGCTCTGTGTGACCCATAACCAAAGTCTGGATCTAAGAAACAGCCAAGCGTATCGAGCAGCTAGTCCCCTAGCAGCTCCTTCTTTATAGCGCGGATCATGTCGGTAAATGTGACGACCCCCAACAATCGGCTTTCCTCGTCCGTAACCCATACCCGGTGGACCTCGGCGATAAGTGCTTCGGCCATCACGGTGGCTAGAGGTGTCGTCGGACGACAACTCACAAGAGGAAGTGGCACTCCGGAACCGCATGTGCGCGAAACGAACTCCATGACCGGCATGACATGCATTTCCTGGATTGCTTTCGGATCCAGACCACGAAAATCGCTCGCCGATAGCGTCCCAACCAGCTTGCCGCCTCGACTCCACCCCGGCGGTCCTACCTCGTGCTCGCCGCTATCGGCCGGATCAACGACTGCAACGGCGTTCACACCACCATGACTCCTCATCATCCTCAATGCATCCTTAACTGTCATTGACGCTGGTACCGCCAGCACAGACAGCGACGGATGCAAAAGATCAAGGTCGTCGATGCTGCACGATACAATTGGTCCGAGCACGTCGATGTGCCGCACAAGGAACCGCATCATGTCCGTCTGCGTGAAAATCCGGAATGCTGAGCAGGCTTGCACATCCTTGGGAAGGCTCGAGGTGCTGGCGGCGTTTTCACTCGTTTCACCCCCCCTGTCTCCAGACCCTCCACCAAATGGCCTTTCCGCACCTTTGCCGTCCACTGACTCAGAAGTCTCTTGGACCTCCTGGAAAGGTACCAGCAACCGGTGCACGCCCTTGCTCAGCGGGCCCATAGCATGGAACAACCTGCAGTCATCACCACAGACAAAAAAGTTTTCGTTAAAACTTCCACTGCCATTACTAGGTGTACTCCGCCCTTCCTCAGCAGGCCCAATAGTTAAACCACCACTAAACAACAACAAAAAAAAAAAAAAAAAAAAAAAAAAAAAAAAAAAAAAAAAAAAAAAAACAACCACCACTACCTCCGCGCCTCTTTTTGCTGAGGCGGAGTAGAACTGTGCGCCAAGCTTGGCTGAAGCGCCAGCAAGACCCTTTAACTTTTGTTTGGGCTGGTGCTGCCGGCCATTTTGGTCCGGTGGCGCCTGGCCTCCGAAGAATGCGGTATAGGACGTATAGGTTTTGGTCACGACTAAGCCTTCCACTCTGAATTGAGAGCATAAAATTTTTTAAAAATAAATAAAAATAAAAAATTGGCGATGACCGACGGTTGGTCCAAGCTACAATCCTCCTCGCTCAGCGGGCGGCCCGTAACATGGACCAAGAGGCAGTCATCACCACAGATTAAAAGTATCAGGTCATAATCACACTATGACTTTTTGGACTCAGCTCTGGACGTGATTGCAGTCAGATGCATCCAGGTTTGACCCTAATTGCAGGCAGATGCATCCAGATTTGACCCTAATTGCAGTCAGACGCATCCAGGTTTTAACCTAATTGCAGTCAGAGACATAAATTTTGGAAAGTGCTAGTGTCAGTATGCCCTTATAGTCAAAACCATGCTGTCCTATTTGTAATACTACCGTCTTCACCGGAATACCTACCTGTATTTGATCAATTTCCGGACTAGATACAGCAATAATGACAAGGAATTGCATTCAGGTGAAGACCTGTGTAGCACACCGAACATGTTCGGCGCCCCACCGAGCAGCCGAACGTGTTCGGGCGCTCGGCCGAGCGCGAACCGAACATGTTCGGCCGAGCGCAAATTAGAGGGCTGCCGAGCGCGTCCTCGTGTGTGTGGTGTGTGGGGTGTATGTGGGGTGTTTGTGGGATGTCTGGGGGTGCGTGTGTATGGTGTGTGTGTGTGTGTATGTTTAGGAGTCATGAGCGATGCCCCCCAGGGCCCCCCAACCCCTATATATATATATACAGTGTAATCAGTGAGGGGATTCTGCAGACTGTTGAGGGTTCAGCCTCCTGATGAGTCGGTGAAACTCCGACGAAACAGTTTGTCACAGCCCCTCGTTTGTTGTCCTCTTCTCCCTCTCTGGTTTACCGGGCAGTTCTATTTGACGATATATATATAAAAATTAAAAAATAAAAAAATAAAAATGTTCGGGCTCGGTCTATATTTTGGGTCATGTTCGGGCTCGGTACCGAGCGTTCGGGTTCGGTCACCGAGCCTGAGCGCGATGCTACGCAGGTGAAGACAATAGCCAGCTGCCTTCAACAACATGCTTCACCGTACTCTCACATCCTACGAAAGACATGGGGTCCCAGAACAACAAACAAGGAATCCGATGTGCGAAGACTTTTTGGACTCGCTCTGGACGTGATTGCAGTCAGATGCATCCAGCTTTGACCCTAATTGCAGTCAGATACAACTGGAAAGACATGGGGTCGCAGAACAACAAACAAGGTCACAGGGGAGTCGCTTTTCTTTCCCCCTTTTCAAAACATATGTGAGGATTCAGGAGCTCGGCATGCAAGAAAAAGGCAAGGCCCGGCCCGCCCTAAGTGAAGGCGGCGGGCATGCTAAATCGGAAATAAAAAAGAAAATAACGGAATCGCACTAAGGCACTCCCCTTTCAGCCCCTTTCGCCCCTTTAACACCAGTTTAAACTCCCCTCCCCCCCTCCCCTTGACAGCCAACTCTCAAAAAAAGAAAAATGACTGGACTTGCCTGGGTACCCCTGGCGTCAGACCCGCCCGGGTGCCCGGCCACTTCCTGGAAAATAACAGTGAAAACTGGAGGGCACACTTTTGCTCAGTTTTTGTAAATGTGAGAAAGGTAATATACACCTAGGCTACCAGCTGGGCCGCCCGGGTCACCCTATTTTCCCGGGCGGCCCGGCCGTGCAAGGACCAGGAAAGGTCCCAGCAAAAAAAACAAAACAAAACAAAAATTCTGAAACATCTCAGGAAAATTCAAAATTTTCATGACCGGGCGGTCACCCGAGCGTGACGCCCGGGATACCTGGGCATGGGGAAAAAAAAAGAAAAAAGAATGGCGGTGGGGGTTTTCCGCGCTCTCCGAGAGGAGCCCAAATCCGGGCTCTTTTCTTTTTTTGAGTGTTGGCAAGCGGGGGCGACGGGAGTATAAATGAGTTTTAAAGGGGCTAAAGGGGTGTAAAGGGGAGTGCCTTAGTGTGATTCGATTATTTTCTTTTTTTATCTTCAGCTCCCTGAGGAATTCTGAAGTGACCCTCAGCCACAAGTTGTTTGTTGCAATTCTACATAAGTAACATAACTTTTTTTCAGATTTTTTTCAGATTTTTATGGAGTTTTTTTGGAGGTTTTCTGATGTGTACCAGCTGCCCGGGCCCATGCCCGGGGGTCATGCCCGGCCGGTCACCCGGTCGCCAAACCGGGCGTGACATTGGGACCCGGGCGACCGGGATATCTCCCGAGGAAAAATCCAAAAAACTCCAAAACAAAACTATGTTATGCAGAAAAATAAACTGAACCACTTTTGCCTCAGGGTAACATTGAAATTCTTTACCAAATTTAAAGTAAACAAAAAAAAAAAAACAAGAGAGAGAGAGAGAGAGAGAGAGAGAGAGAGAGAGAGAGAGAGAGAGAGAGACCAACCCACCGACAAACAGACCTGTCTCTTATACACATCTAGATGTGTATAAGAG